ACTATGACCCTACGACTATAAATACTTGTGAAATAAAAGTCGCTTATGGCCACCGTCTAATATCTTGCTTTTCCAAATCGAATCCAAGATGGACACTTAAACAGGGATTTAAAACATGAGGTTATCGTGTAATTATTATTGGAAATTTTAGAATTGGAATTAAAACTATAATTATCCGACTTTTTCGTGATGATGCTAATAGTGATAACAACCGATAATGCCAAATACGGGTGACAGAGTTTTTAGAAGAAAAGTAAAAAAAAATTAGTTTGTTCAGTAAAAATTTGATATATAATTTATATGATTGAAATTTTATTATTGACATGAGGATGTTGTCGGTAACTAAGCCGTAAGTATTTTTGTAAATGTTATATGACTATAAAAATATGGATTTTATAATTTTTTATAATATCGTGTTGATGGAAAAACAAAGACTTTGTTCCTGATGAGGCGGGGATTGAATCATCTTATCTTATCTTAAATGAAACTAAAGCGTGTGACTATGAATTTTAGCATCTTGCAGATTTTTCCTTCTTTTTAATTACTAACAGTGATAATTTTTCTTTTTTCCTCCATTGTTCGTCATATTGGATGCCTTTGGAATGATCGAAGTTGTGAAAAGAACGCTTGCAACTTTCTTGCGACCTCCATCCTCACGTCTCCATCCAACATGCAACCAAGGCTCGGAATTTGCGAGCTGGGAGACTCGAGCTAATTTTTTTGATGTGTAATCGATATATATTGCATCACATTTTCTTGCTTTTAATTATGTTATCTCCGAAAATTAAAAGAGATAATCATTAAGCTATTCATTTTTTTTAAAAAAAAGGAAATTTGTCCTTTAATTGCTTCAATTTTTTTGTGATTACTAACAAGAATTTTTTTTATTAATGATAATATTATTTAAAATACAGTTGAACATTAAATATGAATACCACTTTTTATAAAAATTTAAACTCTAGCCCTTCCCATTATTAACATCTCCTGCAAGATATTCTTTCAAATCTTACATAACACAATCTTAAAAAAAATATAATTAATATTTTATCCAAATAGCGAGTGATTATCTCAATAATTTATTAAAAAATACATACTCATATTAGTATTTATACCATGAAAAGTTTGAATGATATTTTTAAAAGAAAAGGTTCATGGGAAGTTGGGGAAGAAGTCTATTCAGTGATAATGAAATTGAATGATTACACTGGCGGCGCTCAGAAGTTGTTCCTCCTACAATGGCGTCTCGGCTCGGCTCACTCCTTTTCACTTAATGTTTTCCTTTTAAGGGAGCCAAGGAGTCTGATTGTGGGAAGGGACGGTACGTGATCTTAATTGATTAACATCGAAAACCAAGGGATTTAAACATGGCTCTGTCTCTACTCTCTTCAACTTAGCCTCTGCTTGATAGCTACCAATTAAAGCGATCTCTGAGTCAGAAAAAGGAACGGGAGATTCATTCTTAATTTGGGTTGTGCTGCAACTAATATATTTGGATCGCAACTAATTCATGAGGGAAGCAGAGTTGCTTTTGAATATTGTATTCCCAAGGAGGACTGAAATAGACGTGTCAGTGTCCACAAAACTCTGGTTTCCCTCTCCATAATCTCTGCTCTTTTTTCTTTTTAACTTGGCCCGGCACCGATTGATAACACTACGCTCTTGTCCCCATTTAACTCTGTCAAACCCTTCACCACCTTTCTCTGCTGGCTTATTCTCCACACATAAAATATCTCCTTCTCTTGATAGTTGTTAGTTTATATACTAGTAGAGATCATATCAGAGAGCAAATGAAATAACTTGCTCAGTGTCATCATGCATGCATTATTTACCTGCAGGAGCTATTTCCTTTTCTTTTTTTTTTGGGTTGATCATTGATTATTCCTTCAATATAAAATATTCGTTCTTTCATTATGCACACGCGTTTCTGTCATTGCAACTTCGATGTTCTGGTACGAAGATGAACATGCTTTTTGGGTTACTTGGTGAGAATGAATGATGAAATGGTAAAGTTTGCGGACGGCTTGGGATTGTCAAATTAATGGTTAGGAAGACAATTTCCGCTTTATGAAATAGGTGTTCCGATGGAATCAAACTAAGTTTTATCCGAACCTTAGTCAACTTGGCCTGCACCTTTAAACTATGGATCAAACATGCGGCCAGTGATGCAATAAGCTTGTTATTGTGAAACAATGTTCACTTCATTTTGGAGTTTTCAGATTTATAACGATCAAATCACTAGAACTCACAAATTTTACGAGTTAAAAATTCTGTCATCTATCTTGAGGTGAGATGTATATTTTTTTTTTTTTTTACTTAAGTGACTTGGTGAGAATTTAAACTTCCCCGCCCGCTCATGCTGCTTGAATTCGCTTCTTGTTTATTTTTTTGACAAAACACTTAAATTACTTTTAATTTAACCCCTAGTTATTGGCAACTGCAAATCACATTTCATTTAACTTTTAATTCAATTTCACGTGTATATACATAGTCCCAATCACTTAAGCATGTTTGCTTTTTATTTTTTTGTTAACATTTTAAAATGTGTTGGGTTTCATTTAGACAAATTTGAATGCTTTGTGTTTTGAACGTCATTGTCCGGAAATTTAACCAAGCTATCATCAGTAATTACAAGCTTGTTATAAAACAGATTATTACTCCACAGTTGGTCGGACTCATGAGACTATACCTTATATCAACATAAACGACATATGTCAAACCTTGTGGCATGTACATCTCTTTTGATGCGAGATTAGTAAACTAGTAGCGGCATCTACCTTAAATTTATATCCAGTAAAACAAAAGCGTAATTTTAAAAAAAGCATAACATGTATTTTTTGCGCCTTTTTAAAAAAATATAAAAACACCATTATTTTTAAAACTATATAAAAAATTACATAAAACTCAATAAAGCATAAGCACGAAATAAAAATTATATAGTATCATCAAATATAGATTTCAAATCTTGCGTCAACATGGATTGATTTTCGAGCATCTCAGGCAGCGTTTGGATATTGATAAATTTTAATTTTAATTTTAAATTTAAAATTCGTGTATTGAAATTTTTGTTGAATAGTTTCAAAAATTTTAAATGAAAAAAAAAAAGATGAATTTATATTTGAAACCAAAATAAAAAATGAAAAATGATAAGTTTATTTTCATTTGTTAGTCACAAAAGACGAAAAAGATACAACAATTATGAATGTATCAATAACAAAAAATGTAAAATATATATATATATATATATATTTAATGTTATTAAAATATCAAATCATTAAAATGTAGAGAAAATTTAAAATTATAAAAAAATTATAATTTAAAATAAATAAAATTTAAATTTATAAATTTTTATGTATACAAATGGGTAATTTAATTTAAATTTAAATACAAATTCAAAAAATTTTCATATATTTAAATAAATGATCTGATTTAAATTTAAATTTAAATTCTCTTTAATCTAAACACATTATCACGTTACATTGAAAAATAAGTGATTTCTGTAATAATCACAAATTATCAATAAAACGTGTAATATTTATAAATAAATAACAGTTGCATGACTTGATCTTCATTGTTTAAAATTTTAAATACTGGCTCGCTCACGTCTCATGGTCCTATGTTTCGGCTAAAAGCCTAAAGCATTTGAGCGTGGGTTCGAGCTGGCAGGGCCCTTTGAGACTGTCATTCTCCCAAGACTTAATTGTTTAAATTTTGTATGATATATTTTTTATTAATTATAAATACAACTATAATAATTAACCTTTCAAATCAATCACTATCCTAACATACCCCTTGAAAGAAAAGTACTTGTAGCGGTAGCTCTAGCTAGGATCCAAATTGCAATATTCGGCACAATTCTCAGTCGTTGGAAATGAAGAGAGTTCATTTAAAAACAAAACAGAATGGAATTTAATTACCACTTGTTATTAAAAAAATATTCTATCTATCTTAAATTATAAAATATTATTTTAAAAAAAATTTATATATTAATAAATTTTATTAAATATATTTAATAATTTTATTTTGTTAAAATAAAAATATAAATTTTTAAAAATACTCATTATTTAATATATTAAAAAAAAAGAGAAGAAAATTAATTATAGAAAAAAGATAATATTAAAATTGATACATTTAACAAAATTTTAATCTACTCAAATTATTTTATATTTTAAGATAAATAAACTCATTTAAAAGTATCTTATAATTTAAAACGGAGATAGTACTTTCTTTTTATTTACATAACAAGCTAAGCAATTTTTATTTTTAATTTTTTCTTTTATATGCTCCCTCTATTTAAAAATATAAGATATTTTTAATTGAATCTCACATTCTAATAAAATAGTCACCTACTTTTAAATTAACTCAATCTTTTTATATTTATTTCTATTAAACACCTTAGAATAAACATAAAAATGAGCACTTAAAAAAATAATGATTACACTTTAAAAAATTAAAAATACTTAATATTTTTTAATATTTAACTCTTCAAAAAATATTTTATATTTTAAGCAGAGGGGTAAACAAAATCATATTTTTAATAAGTATTTATTGGACATTTTTTAAATTATTCTTGATAATTTTATCATTTTTGATTATAAAAAACAATTAATAAATGTTTTATTAACACAATTAATAAAGAATTTTGTGATTTAAGTTTTTATATTTAGATACAATTAATATAATTAATTAATTTTTTAAATTATATGATATAATTTTTTTTAAATGAAAACAAGTGAATAAATATCAACGTCAAGATTTATGAAAAATTTATTTTTCATTCTTTAATGTTATGTATTGAAAATTAATGATGGAAGCGAGGCCACTAATTATTTTTGTAAAATTACTTTCACGTGCTTGAGGGGGGGAAAATCCTTGCTGAATAATATATTTCATGCGGCAAAGGGAGCCCTGTATTTGTCTATAAATAGGGCGGAAACGAAAGCACCGAAGTTGATAGTTCAGACCAAATATCTTCCTATTCCCTCTTAGCCTGCTCAGTCCATTCCTTCGTGCATTTCTTTCTTCGCAAGTCCTGATGGAAGAAGCTCTCAGGAGGCTAAACGGGTTAGCCCCGAATCCAGAACCCGACTCACAGGATCCCATGTCCGATCACCCGAAGAAGTGCTCGGCCACCACCAAGAGGACGGTCAGAGAAAACGGCGGCACAATGAGGTACCGCGGAGTGCGGCGTCGGCCATGGGGCCGTTACGCGGCGGAGATAAGAGATCCTCAGTCCAAAGAGCGACGGTGGCTCGGCACTTTCGACACGGCGGAGGAAGCTGCATGCGCCTATGACTGCGCCGCCCGAGCCATGCGTGGCCTCAAAGCTCGCACCAATTTCGTTTACCCGACTTCACCGCCTCCCTCGGCGACCACCGAACATTTCTTCCCTCATTTCGTCTTCGCCAAACAATCTCACAATCAAATGAACAAGAACCTTAGCCCTCATAACCGCCCTTTCGGGTGGTCTTCTTCTAGCTCTAACTCTCACGTCGCCGACTTCCCATCTCCTGCAAATTCTTCTCTCAACATGTTTCTCTTTCGTGACTACCTTGACTCTGCTTCAAACCCATCTTTGGTTACTTCTGCTGATCAGCAATTTTACAACCCCGTGACCAAGGTCATATGTTCATGTTCCGGTGCCTCTTCTACATCTTTACCCCCGTGTAGCTCTGTCCTAGATTGCTGTGTCGTGAATTCTGCCGGTGGAGATGTGGAGAATACCAAAATTGCTGAAGCAGCCAATGAAGATTTTGAATTCTTTCCCAGAGAGCCTTCGGACTCCGGATTGTTGGAAGAGATTGTCCATAGGTTCTTACCAAAATCAAAGCCCAACCAGCAGCCGGAGGATCGAGTGAAAGAGGACACTCTCTCTCTGTCCACACCACAGTTGGTTCCTTCTCAGCCAGCTTATGATCGTGGCATGTTTACTCCCACCGCTTCTCTGAACCATGAAAGTCTGAGGAATAAGGAGGTGACCAAGGCTGAGGATTATAATGCTTCTTCTGATCAGCAAGGTTATTACATCATGCCGCAATTTGACAGCTTTCAGAATGGGTACAACACTGGACAAGGCTTGCCTCTCCACTTGATGATGAAAGATGCAGGGTACTCCATCATGGAAGATATTTTCCAGTACCCAGAACTGCTTAATTAATTTGCAGCTCGGATACAAAACGCTTAATTCTGTGCATTTCTGTGTGAAATGTTCCTAGCTAGGTTAGTGCTAGGCAATATTCCTACGAATTATGGTCTAGGGTCTCGTGCATGTGTGTTGAATCCTTTGTGTTAGGGTTTTTATTTACTGGTAAGATTAACAGGGTTAGTTCGTCCTATAAACTTCACTATGTACTCTTGTGCGTCCTCCTTTTGGGGAGCACTTTCATTTGGAAAGTTCTCAACTTTTGTTATCTTAATTAGCTTTTGGTGAAGCACGAAACACTGCCCTTAGACTTCGTACTATACTGCGTACACCTTCTATGTTTGCTTATTGCTTCGGATTGGTGGGAAAAAACTGAAGAATCATGAGTAGGACATGCTCAGCGTAAAGTGGAAAATCTTTGAGAGCATGTCATGCACAATTGGTAACTTTGCGTGTTGACTTTGGGACTCAAAAGTTCGTGTCTGTTTGCTGCATACTTTTGATCTGCTGCCCCGGCCATTTATGTTTGTGTATATATTCTTCTGTTGGCTTGAATATAGTGATTTAGGTTCAAGTAATACCCAGGTTGTGCTGTCGTTTTCTGCTTTTTCTCATTGGCGTCTGTTGCCATGTATGGGATTGTGATCAAAATTCAAAACCCCACTAAAGTAAAAGTGAGAACTGAAAAGGCAAAAACCCTAGCAACTAGCGCGAGTATGGTGTATGGGAGAACGTGTAGTTGTACTCATTCGCGGAAAAGGTGAGCTGCCAGGGTGAAGATTTTCAGTTAAACGACAAAACAATAACCCCTCCTGAGCATCCGTTTTTATTGCAATGTTAGAATTTTCTATGATCTTGATCTATTTCGGTTCAGTTCATGCTAATTAACAAATAAACTGTGTTCAATGAAGAAATTTAAGTTGCACCTGATATCGGAAGATGCTTTAATTTTGAATAGCGATTAAGCGCTACTCTTAAATCACATACCTTTACTGTATTCGGTCGATAATGGAAGTTAGGTTATGAGCTCCAGCTAAGTTATAAGTTAATGGGCCTCCATCTACAAATCAAATTACCAAAAAATGGGGTTATTATATATATCGTCGAGTTCGTTTGGGCTATTACACACACACACACACACACGTGATGTATCAATATTTGAACTCGAGCTAGTTTTTCAACATTAATTTATTACAATTTAGAAATTAAAGGGCAATATAGTTGATCACATGCATAAAGGCGTTTGTTGAAAAGACAGTAGGCTAATTAATTGTTGGAAAGATAATGAGCTAATTAAATGTCTGCATAAATACATGGTTATGAGGAAGTTCTCTCGCGTCAATCTATCAACCGTCTACAAACTCAGTTACGCACGTAAGTGAGCTAAATTATTGATGTAAACCCTTGAAGACGAGTTGAGTGCCATTGCAAATTTTTGTGGAGGCTTTTGTTTGATTGTTTGTTTGTTTTTTTTGGCCTTCTTCTTTCTTTGTTGAGTCCCCCCCCCCCCACCCCCAACCTAAAGAGAGGCTGATCTCAGAGAGAGTTTTTATATCTTATACCAAATACCAATAAAGATCAAACGCATTGTTAAAGGACTTCAGGTTTGCAGTTGCTTTCATTTGAAACCACCATAAAATTAATTCCATGTTTTGCCAGACCTTTTTAATCTCAAACTTTTTACAATAGGATCGGATCAAGGTCAAGTTTAAATTAAAGTCACAATAGGATTTCATGTATGCTTCATCTTATTGCATTAATGGTACAATTTCGTAAAGGTTGAACAACCGCCGATGAATCGTTTAATTTTCTAACTTTGCGCGTCTGCAACATGCATCTTCCTTAATTCAAAGGGAAAAAAATTTGTCAGTTACAAGAATTTTTCTTGTGGATATCTTAGGCAGTTGACTTTTACCGGATTGAATTGAATATTAACTATAAAAGTGACTAAAGTGAAAATGTTTAATTATTGTTTATTTTTATATCTATGACTTCTTGTAACAAACAGCTAGGTGATTCTATGTCTATGAAACAAAACCCAATATCTGAAAGAAAAAAAACAATAAATAAGCTATTCCCTTTACAACTTATAAATTATAATATGACTTGCATTGTTTATAAATTTTATTGATCCATGACAACAAATTCTCAATTTTTCAAGCTCTTAAATTTCCTCAAGAATCATATAATTAATTCCTTCAATACAGTAATAGAAATTTGTTTTCTCGTCTCTTAGTAAATGCATTCATTTTTTCCCCCTTGGTGAAATATACAAGATCTGGATTGGACGGGGCGTATAGAAACTTAACACACCAAATAAATGGTGCATGAGGTTAATTTAAACTCTCCAGCAAATAATACAACAGTTTTCGAACGCATTATACATTCTCATCGACCCACAAAAGAATATAAGTACGGGAGGTTCAAATTAATTAGTTTTAAGGGTCCAAAAGCTTGTAATCTATCGCCTTAAATTATTACGTTAAAAAGAAATTTATAGAGTCACTTATGATTAACGTAGTTTGGATCATACATACTTGCATGTATGTAGCTTGTTGCATTGCTACGCCACTTGAGATAAAATCTTCTGGACATTATTATCACTTACTCTGGCAGATGCGAAGATAACAAGAGTCGTAACTATTACATACATACATACATACATACATACATACATATATCTGTGTGGGTGTGCGAAGCTAACCGATATCACTATATATTGCTGAAAGTTCTTTTTGCATCTAGGGTTTAGGCTAAACGGAAATTTTGCGAATGCAATATAGACTCAAATATGTATATTTGGATGGGCAACATGAGATGACTTGTTAGTTGCGAAGGAGAAAAGGAAGAAGCAGCTTTAATTTAATTCTGAGAATATATATATATATATATATACGTGACTGGCAACATGTACGCAGTTTTGTGACAGAGTGGTGCTGAGCCATTTGTCTCCCTAGCTATAACATGCATCTCAGTATCCCCTCTCTTTAATTAATTAATTAATTACCATTCTTCTACTCAAATCTAAATCTCTTTTCCCTTTTTCCCTTCTCATTGTGCAAATTCCGGAACCTTCGCTCATAAAGCTCTCTCCTAGCTCTGCGTCTGTGTGTTGTCCTTCATAGCTTCAATCTCACGTATCTGCCTGCACCACCTTACATCCTCATTCCTCACTCACTCTTCCTTCTTCCTTCTCAAGTTTCGAGTTCACAGCTCAATCCAACATGGCTCTGTATTTCAACCATTCCCCATGTCAACGCTTTATTCCTCCTCTGACACATACGTACACGGTACACCCACCTTCTTCCTCTTTACTTCAAACTTTAAAACCCTAGCTAACAATAACCCTACCCGAGCCAACCTCCTTTCAACATAAAGAAACCCACAGTTTCCTCATTAATTAACACTATTGTAGCTACACAGTGAAGGGCTCGACCATGCTTTCCAAACTTTCACCTGCGTTTGAATTCACATTTTTTATGTGCATAGTTAGTTACGAACAGTGTAATATTGTACTGCTGTATAATTTATTTTGATGCTATTCGTCGAGGCTAATATAATTATGTAGCTTGTAGTTTATTCATTGGATTTCATTAATTGAAAAGAAGCAGTGGTCCTGCCTAAATAAATATATATATTCGCTCTATTCCCCCAGTTCTTTTAAGACCGTGCTGGCTTATAAGCAACACCGCCACTATCTTTTCAAGAGTTTCATGATCGTGTTTCCAGAGGAATATGTGTTGCTTAGCTTAGCAGCTATAATGTAACTTGATAATTACTTAATATATATAAAGTACATTGAAATTAGGAACAGTTTATTTAAAAAACGACTCTCGTTTATTTTTTAAATAATTTAATTTAATGATTATAATGATGAATAACGTCTAAAGAGAAATTAAAGCGAGTGATATGTGGGAGAGACATATCAGAGGCTGAAATTCGCTTGTAGCAGTTATAAGGTTACAAGCTTCTCCAACACAATAATGGAGTCTCGAGGTTGTTAAATTCCAGATTCCAGTGATGAACAAGTCACAAGAGTGACGGACTAATATTAAATTCTGGGTTGTGTCAAAAAAAAACAAGGATCTCATTATATATTATATTGTTCACATGTGTCGGTCCACGTGTGCAGGGTCTGATACTGATACTCCATTGGCCACTCATATCAACTTTTTCCTGGCTCGTAACATCTCAAGTTGCAGGGCCTCATTTCATCACCTTAGGGCTAATGAGAAAAAGCATATATAGCTTTTATATATATATATATATATATATATATGCATACACACACAAAACACACACACGGAGAGATTCACACAAAAGCCAACTGCTTGGGACAGAAAGCAGAGCTGCTTTTGTATGAAACGTGCATGGAGGTGGCAGCCTCTTTTTAACAGAGCTAAAGTAGGCTTCTAGTACGCTTCATGTATCGCGGCTACCCTGCGCCACTAGTTGACTTTTGTTAAATAATCACCTACTTTTCATTCCATTATCATTATCATTATCACTGTAATAATAATTAGTGCTCCCTATTATTAAAGTTAGTTTTGTATCATTTTTAACAATTTAGACTAGACAACATGCTGCTTCGCATATGGAAGAGGCGACTTCATGTTTGAGAAATTCACGGTATCATTATATCATCTCAATTTTTTTGTTTTTTTATTTTTAACAAACATAGCAATAATTTGATGATAGATATAGATCAACTGGACAACGCACAAGCATTTTAATTAATAAATTATTTTTATCCTAAATTTAATTATTTCATCAAATTTAGCTTGTTTTCTGACTTCTCAATCTTTGATTATATAAAAGACTTACTCTTGAATCACATTGAGTCTTTCATGATAGAAGACATCCTCCGTTAGGATCAATGTTTCAAAGGTATAGAAAAACTTCTTGTGCGCAATTGATATATAGATTGTCTGTGAATTTGTCCTCAGAGGAGCTAACGCATGCACTTACATGTTTATAATATAGATATTGGTTTTGTTTGGCTGAAGAAAGGAATGGAATTGATTGAAAAATAAAAGTAAAAATAAAATAATTAAAACGTGGAGGTGAATAAGTGACCTATATTCATAGGGGAGTATAATTTTAGTTCATGAAATTAGGATTCATATGATTCATAAGATTTTTTAAAGGTGTAATAATTTTTACATTTTTGGTATTGAGTTTTAT